TCCATATCATTCTCTCAGTGCTCTTGGCACAAAGCGTGACATCAGCTTCCACATGACCATTCCACATGTCTTTGGTTAGCACTAGCAACTCTGTTCTCTAGCCACTTACACCATCCTTGGCCACTCACAGAAGCTGAATCAGATAATTTATGGTGTTGGCATCCTGTTAGACCCTGAGGTGGACTTACACCACCATATTCTTTCCATTATAAAGACTGCCTATCTCTACATCCATGACATTGCCTGTCCATGCCCCTGCCTCAGTCAATTAACTGGCTGTGGGGCAAAGTGACTACCCAAAAGAATATCTGAACAAAATGAGGCTCCAATTTGAGAGACCATCAGGAGGAAGAGACTGGTGTTCCACAGACATGGGGAAGGAATGGGTAAACGTGACACTGAATATTTCATTGAAGGGTGATATTGTCAGACACCTGAAGTTAGTCTGACAGACACTGCCTGTGGCAGGGAGTGGTGTGAAAACCATAGCAGTTCTAAGAAGGGATGAAAAGAGAATAACTGGAAAAGGAAAACAGAAATTTTATTGAAGGGGTGTTTGAAACTGAAAAAGATGAACTGTTGAGAATATGGAATCAGTCCCGAAGAAAGGTAATACCCGAAACATTGACTGCTCATTTCCTCCAGTTGCTGCCTGGCCTGCAGTGTTCTTCCAGCCTCCTGTTTGTCTACATCAAATATGGAATTTTTGTTGTTTGCACTAATCAACAACAATGCAAAGGGGAAGTATAGTTTAATGTGAGTGTAGATTTGTAAAGCAGTGAAGTAGTTTCTGCCACAAGTAATAAGAAAGTGACAGGACCATAGCATCCTCCAGGCCTTTGTTTTATCATGAAACCATGGTTTCAATTCGACAAAGACAAAATGTGTGCAGAAAGAATCGTTAGAAGTTATGCAATTGATTTGGTTGTACAAAAGGGTTTGATTGAAATACAACATTGGATTTATAGTCTATTGCATTGACAGTTTGTTATAGTATTAAGTTTACAGTTTGAGTAGGATTCCAAGTTTCATATCATCGTAACTTGGAACTATATCACTGTCATTCATTGTCGCTGTGTGCGAACCCTGGAATCCCCTTCCTATTAACATTGTGCACCCACATTACATAGAGTGCAGAGGTTCAAGAAGCCAGATCACCTTTTAAAGTGATGGGCCTTGTGGTGATGGTAATGAGCTGGTAAACTAAACCCCTCCCCAGGCTAATTTTCTGGGAACAGGGGTAAGAATCCTACCACACCAGACAGTGATATTTGAATTCCATAAAAATCTGGAATTAAAAGCTGGTGGCCATGTAAGCAGTTGGGGTCGATTGTCACAAAAAAAAAGTCTTATTCACTAATGTCCTTTAGGGAGGGAAATCTGCCTTTATCCAGTCTGGTCTACTCCAGACCCACAGCAATGTGGTTGACTCTTAACTGCTCTCTGGGCAGTTAGGAAAGTTAAATACTGGTCCAGCCAGCAATGCCCACATCCCATTAACCAATCAAAGAAAACATTTCTAGGGCAATGAAGGAATAAGTGGGAAGTATATGTCAGTCCAGACAGTTTCACATATTGCAATGTATTTGGGTAATATAATTGCAGAAAATGTATTGTAGTTGTATACACAATAACGTGGCTGCAAATTGCCTCATCTTGTCTAAATAATTATCCAGTCCATCTCTGTTCTTTGGATGCAGTATTGAATTGAATAAATTATTGCTGGAATGGCAGTTCATTTTAATACATGAATACAACTATGCAATATTTTGGTTAGGTTTTTATAAGATAGCAGGATATAATGGAGTCTTGACTCTTATTGTTCGAGTTCATTGGTTATGTTACAAGGTTCACTTATCTTAAAGTCAGAGTCAACATAGTCAGCCAGTCTCACAGCATTGTAGTGTCAGAGCTTTCAACACAAAAAAGCCTTTGTAACCCTTAAAGCTTGCCAATGAACTATGTTGCTGTATTAACTCTATCAGGCAAATCTCATTAAATAGCAATTCTACGAAAGGAAAAAAGACCATTAAATTCAACATACACTCTTATATTCCAGACCTAGATCACGATTTTACATGAACTTGCTATCCTCATATTTAATATACATTAGATAACATTTGAAATAAAATTGTCAGATTAGTTGTTACCTCTAGTTAGACTATCAATGATGAGATACAGAAATCAGAACTTAATGTTACAAGGTAGCTACATTTTTCCTCACCCAACAAAATGTTAGAATCATAGAGTTCCTACAGTGTGGAAGCAGGCCACTCAGCCCATTGAGTCCACACCAACCCCTGAAAAGCATCCCATCCAGATGCTGCATTTCCCATGGCCAGTCCACCCTAACCTGCACATACCTGGACTGTGTGGGAAAACCCAGAGCACCCAGTGCAAACCCACACAGACACAGGGAGAATGTGCAAACTCCACACTGAGGGTGGAATCAAACGTGGGTTCCTAGTGCTGTTTGGCAGCAGTGCTAACCACTGAGCCGCTGTGCCGCCCTAATGTTGGCTAATTATATCTTTTTGTGAAATAAACAAGACTCCTCAATCATTGTATTCTTTTCATATGAGAGAGTTAGGTGGATAAATTGGCATGGTGCAGACAAAGAATTACTTTCACTTCCTGATTACAACTAATTGTAGGTTTTATCTGGGATGCGTCATGTGGCACACTGATAGTGAATTTCTCTCTCAGCACTTGTGCCTGCTCAAAAGCCATTTAACGTTTCCTAATCCATGTTCATCAATAATTAGTATGGGGGTATGATAACCAACAATTGTTTCACTGTCAATGAGTTTGTTTTCTTTTGTTGATTGATTTTATTGTCAAGTGCACTGAAATACAGTGAAAAGCTTTGTTTACAAGTGGTACAAGCAGATCACAGCAAGCAATCGATGTACAAATCAAAAAGACTTAGAGACGTACAGGTTACATTATTTGAGGCTATGATGTTATTTTCCAGTTATGATGTTTGGAACTCTGGCACATAAAGTAAGTAGTGAGGGGTTACTTTGATTTGTTTTTGCCATAATTTCTATTGGATGCATTAGAGATTAAAACTCTTGTTCTTTACTGTAGTCAGAGGGACAGATTAGTATGGGACTTAATGTAATTGTCACCTGACTCAGAATTCTCTTTCATCATTCCTTCAACAAAAAGATACTGTAAAAAGTAGTAAAAGTTTGTCGACTGAGTACTTAGTGTATTAAATATTGAGTTTTATGCCATCTTTAAAAGAAGTCATTGCTGGCAAACTAGAAGTAAACTAAAAGTTTCCCCAGCTACTATGTTTGGGAAGGAGTTACAAAAGACTAATATGATAAATTTCAGAAATACAAATTATTGAATAATTATTAGAATTAGAGATGTAGGGTAGAGGGTAACAGTTGCATTACATCTGTACAAATTCTCAATTAGACTGGAGTATTTGGAAACAAAACAAATCAGAAAATGCTGAAGAAACTCAGGAGGTCTGGCACCATCTGTGGGAAGAAAGCAAAATTAACATTTTCACTCCGGTATGACCCTTCAGGTCAGGTCACCGGACTTGAAATGTTAACTCTGTTTCTGTCAGCACAGATGTTGCCAGACCTGCTGAGTTTCTCCAGCATTTTCTGTTTTTGTTTCATGTTTCCAGCATCTGCAGTTCTTTGTTTTATTATAACCTGGAGCTTTGTGTTTGGTTCAGAGCACCACACAGTAGGACTGAAATATTTCTCTTGGATGGAGTGCAACACATATTTACAGAATGTTTGTTTTTATTCATTCATGGGATGTTTCACCTCACTGGTTGGGCCAATATTTATTTCCAGTCCCTAGTTGCCCTTGAGAAGGTGGTGGTGAGCTGCCTTCTTGAATTGCTGCAGTCCAATGGGAGAGAGGGACACCCACAGTACTGTTAGGAGGGAGTTCCAGGATTTTGAACCAGCGACAGTGAAGGAATAGTGATATAGTTCCTAGTCAGGATGTTCTGGATGTGTGTGGCATTGTGAGATCTACATTCTTGTGTGTGAACAGCAACAGGATTTATTGAACATAAAGATATAGAGAGGATGGTGAGAACATCCTAGTTGGAACCCAACAGACCCAGCCTCCCACTTCATGTGGTCTGACATCACTATGACATAGCTTTTCCACATGTTTAGCATCTCACTCAGAGTGAAAGTGCCACTCTCTTTATGCTGTAGTGTAGAAATTGGAGGGGACCTTGAAGGTGGTGGTGTTCCCATGCATCTGCTGCTCTTGTCCTTCGGGTCAGCTTTGGAATGTGCTGTCTAAGGAGACTTAGTGATGTCTGAATCTCAAGGTTAATTATATACAAAATTAGGCGTGTCGCTGGAATTTAGACAGTTAAGAGGTTATCTGATTAAAGTCTTTAGACTGTCAAGGGGAGTGTCTGTTGGGCTGCATGCTGCGAAATCTTCCTTTGTTCGGGAAATCTAGGATTTGGGAAAATGTTCTAAAAATTAGAGCGAGGTCTTTGAGGAGTAAAATGGAGGAACGCTTGTCTACATAAAGGCTGATAGAAATCTGGAACTTCCATTGGCCAAGTCAAATGTTAATGTTAGATCTGGGATCTTGTAACCGAATGTGTCATGGTTTTTGTGGAGCAAGTGGGTATAGGGAGTTATGTCATAGATCAACCATGCTCTTATCGAATTATTTGATTTGATTTGACTTGATTATTTGTCACATGTATTTTGTTACAAAATACAGTGAAAAGCATTTTATAGTTTCACTACAATCCAGCGCCATTGAAACACGGAAAAATAAACCAAAACAAAGAAAATAAAGGCAGAAAAATAAAGAAATAAAAAAAAATTTTCACCTTTACAGTCCTTCTTGTTAAGTGCTCCATCATAGGCCATGGTCCTGGTTCCTGGGCACAAGTCCCCTTCCCTGCACCACCTTTTGGCACCATCTCACCTCCACTGAAGCCCACACTGCTGAGCCCTCACTGGACCTTGCCAATGCAGATGCCCACTGATGCTGCTAGGGTACCGCACCAGCCCAGACTTGCCTCTGCTGCTGCCACCGCTACCAGTTTGCCTTGGCTCCACTGAAAGCCGTCACTGTCACCGAGCTCTTCAACAAGTGGTAAGTAAAATAAGAGGGAAAAGAATGAGAAAAGAGAATCAGAACAGGCTGGAGGGACTAAACAACCTTCTCCTCGGCCCACATTCCCCAAGTCTTGTGATTGATATAGATGTAACATTAGCTGTACTAAGATGTCCTTGTCAGTACCAACTTGGATGGCATTCTTATAAAACGCATCTCTATTTAATTTGATTGCATCATTTACATTGTGCTTTATTTAGATCTTTAAAGTGTAAAAGTGATTATTGGCTGTTAAACTTTAATTACAACAAGTTGATGCTAATATCTGTATTAACTTGAAACCAGTTAAATGACTTAATTATAGAGTCATTGAGGACTACAGCATGGAAACAGGCCCTTCAGCTCAACTTGTCCATACTGCCCAGTTTTCGCAATTTATTCTGGTCCCATTTGTCTGCGTTTGGTTTATATCCCTTCATATCTATCCCATCCATGTACCTGTCTAAATGTTTCTTAAATGACAAAATTGTATTCACTTCCACCACTACCTCTGGCAGCCTGTTCTAGACATTTACCACCCTCTGTATGAAACAATTGCCCCTCTGGACTCTTTCATATCTCTCCTCTCACCTTAAACGTGTCCCCTCTAGTTTCAGGCTCCCCTACCAAGGGGAAAAGTTTTCAGCTATCGACCCTATTTATGCCTCTCATGCTGCACAGAGCCTCCGACCAACGCTATACACCAGATAAATTGACGACATTTTCTTCCTTTGGACTCATGGAGAGGAATCACGGAAACAATTACATAGCGATATCAACAAGTTTCATCCCACCATCAGGCTTACCATGGACTACTCATTCTTGGACACACGCATCTCCATCAAGGATGGACAACTCAGTACATCACACTACCACAAGCCCATGGATAACCCCACCATGCTGCACTTCTCTAACTTCCACCCGAAACATGTTAAAGAAGCCATCCCCTATGGACAAGCCTTGCGCATGCACAGGATCTATTCAGATGAGGAGGAATGAGACAGACACCTGAAGGTGCTGAAGGACACCCTCATAGGAACAGGATACGATGCTCAACTCATCGATCATCAGTTCCAACGTGCCACAGCGAAAAATCGTAATGACCTCCTCAGAAGACAGACACAAGAGACATCCAATAGGGTACCCTTCATCATCCAGTACTTCCCCGGAGCGGAGAAACTACACCATGTACTTCGCAGTCTTCAACACATTATCGATGAGCACTTCGCCAAGATCTTCCCCACGCCTCCACTTCTCGTCTTCAAACAACCGCCAAACCATAAACAGACCATCGCTCGCAGCAAACTACCCAGCCTTCAGGACAACATCGACCACAACACCACACAACCCTATCATGGCAACCTCTGCAAGACATGTCAGTTCATCGACGTGGACACTACCATCACACATGGGAACACCACCCACCGCGTACACGGCAGATTCTCATGTAACTTGGCCAACGTTGTCTATCTCATACACCGCAGGCAAGGATGCCCCGAGGCATGGTACATTGGCGAAACCATGCAGATGCTGCGACAACAGATGAACGGACACCGCACAACAATCGCCAGACAGGGATGTTCCCTCCCAGTCGGAGAACACTTCAGCGATCAAGGACATTCAGCCTCGGATCTTCGGGTAAACGTCCTCCAAGGCGGACTTCGGGAAACACAACAATGCAGAGTCACCGAGCAGAGGCTGATAGCGAAGTTCAATACCCATGAGGACGGCATCAACCGGGATCTTGGGATCATGTCGCACTACAGATAACCCCACCACACTATACACTCACACACACGCATATACATACACACACACACACACGCATACACACACACACTCACACACACGCATACACTCACACATACACATACACACATAAACACACACACACAAACACACACATGCACATGCATACATTCACACACACGCACATGCATACACACATACACACAAACATGCATATACACACACACTCATACACACACACACGCACACGCATACACTCACGCATACACGCACACACACACAAACTCATACACACATGCATACACACACAAACACACACTCTCACACACACACTCACTCGCTCTCCCACACACACACACACATACTGTCTTTCTCCCTCCTCACACACACACACACATACTCTCTCCCCTCCTCTTGTACACACTTTCTCCCCTCCTTGCTCACACACTCTCTTTCCCCCTCACAGACATACACTCTCGCTCCTCCTCCTCACAGACACAGACTCTCTCTCCCCCCATCACTGTCTCTTACATATATACACACTCTCTCTCTCTCCCTCCCTCACTCACACACACACACACACACACACAC